GCAACTTTTAAGGATCTGTCCATCCTGGTTATTAATTTACAGACACAAGTGGATTTACCCCCTGGTAGTTTCCCACACTACTCTGCACCATCGCTTTTTTTTTTTTTTTTTTTTTTTTTGCTAATCCTGACACTTGTTCTACAATTAGAGCAGGACCAGTGTCTCAGAAGCAGATCCTTACACTCCAGGCTGGTAATTCTGTATTTTTACAGCCCAGGCAGGTTCTCTGTGGGATGCAGAACATTGCACCCATCTGGCAGGCAATTAACACAGCTCTGCTCTCCCAGGTGAGCCATTACCTTTCCCCTCCTGCACCACGACACACAGCAGAGCAGGATCCACATCTCCTCCCCAGGATAATGGCCAGGAGAATATTACAACTGGCTAATTACAAACCCCTGCCTTGTCCCCGTCCCTCCTGAGTGCTGGCAGGACAAGGAGAGCAGGGAATCACCCCCAGGAGATGCAGGAGGAGCAGGTGCCTGCACAGCTTTGCCCAGCTCAGACTTCCCAAAAACTTTTATATGGTAAGGAAAAAAAAAAAAAAAAAAAAACAGACCTGCCTGCATGTGAGCAAGGATAATCAAATCGTGCCTGGGAGCATATAAATCAATAAAGGCATTTTTGAAATATAGGAAAGCTGGAGTAGTTAACTAAAAATCACATACTCGGGAATTGTGGAATGCTGTGGGTTTGGGAGGGACCTTAAATCTCATTTCAGGCCATCCTTGCTATGGGGACACCTCCCACTGTCCCAGGCTGCTCCAAATCCTGTCCAGCCTGGCCTGGGACACTGCCAGGGATCCAAGGGCACTCACAGCTTCCCTGGGAATCCCAATCCAACCCAATCCCAATCCCAGGGAGGAATTTCCTCCTGATGTCTCTCAGGAATTCTCTCCCCACAGAGGTGCAGGCAGCTCAGGGAGATTTAAACCGAGCTTTGCCCTCCCAGTGTAACAAAGTCCAGCTCAACTGGGACCCCCAGCCAGGCAGCCCAGGGTTAATTACCACGTGCTTTAGAGCAATATTAACCAGGAAACTCGGGACAGACAAGTGCCAAGGAGTGCAATGGGAATAAATTGGGCATCTCCTTCCACATTTCCACTTTGTGTCCCCAGATCTGCTCCCAGCTCTGCTGCTGCTTGTTCAGTAATTTCACGCTACGCTGCTTAACAATGTAAGCATGGAGGCTCCATCTAAAACTGCACTTCCCAAATGTCACTTGTTTGTGAACACATGGCTGAACCCAAAATTGCTTTTAATATTCGAGTGGTGCCTGCTGGCTCCGTTGTAGTTAAGGGTCTGTCTGAATTTCCATGATAAACCCCATTTTCAGGGGTGTAATACCATGACCACTCACTACACAAAAACCTGCTTTACAAGGTCACAGCAGACAAACACCATTTTTTACATTTTTAAACCAAGGTTGCTTGGCTAGTTTTGAGATTCAGACATTTGACACTGATTTGAGGCCTCTTACAGTTTAAGGCTCAGCCCAGCCTAGCCAAGCCCAGTCCATCCAAGCCCACCTGAGTTGCTATTTTCCCATAGCCAATCCAGCCCAGCCAAGCCCA